TGAACCTTCTGCACGCCGTCTGACTTTTCCATTACTGTGGTGACGTCGCCGAAGAACAGGTTCTTGATGGCGTCTCCTTGCTCACCTTCGCGCAGAATGCTGTCACCTGTTATGGCACAGGAAATGAGATCAAATATGTTCGACATGACTTCTGCTGCATCCTGTTGTCGAGCGCTCTCCTCAATCCTACCAATTCTCGAAATCGATTGGACAGCAGGCTTGATGGCCGGTTTAGGGTCTGCCCGTGGTGGGATTGGCGGAGGCCGTGTTGGTGGGGCAGGCACATCGCCCTCGCTCTTGCCTGCTGCAACGTCGTCGTTCATGACAGAATCAGCAGGTGTAATCGGCGCCGCATCAGCATTCTCCATGACCGAGTCTGTAGGATTTGTGTTGTCGCCAGTCACGGCTGAGCCGGCTGGAGCTTCTGCAGGAGCGGACTGCATCACAGCAGGTGGAAGCATCGGTCCACTAACCGCAGCTCCATCAATCGTGCCCAAGCCTGCGCCGTCGGTAGTGTTTACTGGTGGTGACTCCACTGGATCCGCGGGATTGTCTGATTTGCATAGTGCGAGTGAAGCGAGGTCTATGGCAGGCTGTACCGTGTCTGTGGATGCGGTGATCATGCGCTCAAACAAAGTCCGCAACTCCCGGACGACTACGCGAGGTTAGCATCGATCTGAAGTAACGAAAGACATACTGACACTTCTGTGCCGTCAAAACCCTTTCGGCTGTGACCCACATGCGCCCAACTTTCTTGTTCTTCAAGCTTTCTGGAGAGAGATCTTGTAGGTATTTCTCGCAATTAAGAATGAGATCTCTCAAGGGCTTGATGGTGAACAGGAATTGGAGAACGCTGTTGAGATAGCAGGTATTACCGATATTGCGGAGCCCAACCGGCCATGAATCGAGGGGGTATTTGTTCCTTCTGGCTTCGGAGGGGTTGACGTGGTTGTCGCCAAACCTCTGTGACTGGTCGTTCTCGATAAGTTTATACGCTGTCTCCATGCGTGCTCGTTCGCTGGAGCCAATATCGTAGGTGCTGACTAGAGAGCCCAAAACTGCAAGTTCGAGCTTGACGGTTCTGTCTGGTTGTTGGAAAAGGGCGTAGGCTTCACCGAGGTCCATTTCAGGCTCGCTCATTGCCCCGAACTTGGCGAACTGTCGCAGTCGTTCGCTGTTGCGCGCATCTGCTATGATATCCAGGGCTTTTCTTGCAGATTCTATGCTTGCGGGGCTGTCCTGAGTCTATTTGAGTGTTAGCAATCGTCAGAACAGCAAACAAGTCATGTCGGGACCCGACGTGCACGGTACCTTTAGCGAATACATGGTCGGGATGAAATCGTCGGCTACACCAAGCTCAAGATCGAAGAACGCCATGGCCTGCTCGTACGTCTCGATAGACCCAGAAGCCTCTGACCGTATCCTGTCGCTGTCACGCACGTCTCCGAGAACTCGCAGTTGCTTTCGTGCCTCCTCAGCCTGTATAACGCTGACATCGGCTAGCCGCGACCGGAAACATCCTATGATATGATCGTCGCCTATCACGTTTGCGTGGGTTGGATCAATCCCAAAGTACTGGTAGGCACGCTCGGTATCGCGTTTGCTAGTGAGACCCTGTGAGGCCAACAAAGCAACCTGCATCTGAAGCATCTCACTTTGGCGACCGGCAGCGAGATCCTGCAAGCATTCGAAGTAGTAAGCCTTGTTCTCGATATCGACAGCGCCTTGTCGAGAGAAGGCGAACAGGATTAAAGCGTCGTCGAAGTCACCGACGGCGCCTAGACTAGCGTAGTAACTACATGTCGTCAGTAAGCAGGAACGCCGGTGAAGGTGAAAGCGGGGCACATACGGGTGATCTTCTTCGTGGTTTGTACTGCGTGTCTCCCGTCCCTTCGCCTTAGCGTCTGTGCAGCTTGTCAGTGTCCACATTGTGTAACAAGCGGGGCGTATATGGACATACAATCCGCGCATGCTAACGCTCTCTCCATATCGACTCGGGACGGTGTGGGATACATGGGCTGGTGTCTGCAGCCCACTCGTTCATTCTCCGGCATGCTAAGTATTAATGTATTCAGCTCGTAGCGAGCGTCCTCGATCTTGTTGCGCAGCGTCGATTCGAGAGGAGATGCCGCTTCATCGGGCCTAGGGAGATACCAGACTTCTACGATGGCATCCTCTTCCTCTTCCTGGCGGTTCTCGAAGCCCAGGCGCCGTAATATCGAGTCGCAGTCCCTACCGAAGGTCTTGAGAAACTTCTTGTTCAACAATGGGATGCGTGCCTTGCCCTTCGCGGGCTTCAACGAATCCTGTAGGTATGTATTCAGGTAATCGGGAGCATCGACCTTCCGCGCCATGTTTGCGTCTGCCCGGTCGCCGGCGATCTGTTTCGCTGCTTCCCATCGTCTCCTGAGTTGGGCCTGGTCGGTCAAAGTGACAATGTCCTGCTCCGAGAAGCATGGCGGCTTCATGCTAATCCGTACCCTGACTGAGCACTCGGGCGCAGTGCAGCGGAAAGTGTAGGTGCGCGGGCGCAGCTGAGCCTCGATTCCACCGGTGCCACTCGAGCTGTCTTCTCCTTCGTAGAGGAAGTGGTGCAAGGCATAGTCCTCATTTCCCTTCCCACACGACTTGATCTTGGTGGCATCGGTGCGGTGGTCGACACGCACATCGACATGCCAGCGACACTTGTTGCAGTATGAGGCGACCTTGTATGTGGTATTCGGGGTTGCGTCTTCGCCTGCAATCGGCAACAGCGACTGCTCAGGCTTGGTGAAGAAGATGTGGCGGCAGTTCCTGAAGGGTACGGCGGCGACTGCTGGGGCTTTGCTGTCGTGTTGCGGCGGGGCACTCGTCAACAAGTTCCGACCGGCCCGTTCTTCGTGTCGCGGATCGTATGTGAAGAGGTCCTGGAGTAGCCGCGGCGCCGTCTTGCCTGCGAGTCGTGGTTAGCACACGCTGGTGGGACGAGGGTGGACAAAGTACCAGGCGCCATAGCTGCTGTGCGCGGTGGGGAGCAATAGTGTGGCGTATACTATGGATGACAGAATGGAGGTTTACTGGCAGCACAACATGCACGGCGAGATGGGTGGAAGAGGGCGAAGACGGGAGTAGTCGCTACTGTATGATTGAAGCGTTTACGGACAGAGCATCGTGGGCGGCGACCGCCTAGTAGAAGCACTACAGTGCTAGATTCAGGAAGAACAAGACAGCTGGCCCACGTGAAAAGCCCTGACGCATGCAACTACGCACATGAAAACACAAGACCGCAACGGTACAAGCGGCGAGGCACACGGGCTCGCGGCATTCACTGCGACAGCTCGACGACGCGGCGCGCGATGATGCAGCCAGTGCCCGCCCGCCGCCGCTTGAGCCCTGAGCGCCAAGACGCTTATGGTCTGGCGCATCTTCCCGCTGCCGACTTCAACAACGTCGATAGAGCTCCCGAGACGACACCCACGCCCAATTCGCCCGCCATGGCCGACCAATACGTCACCTACCACCCGCGGGACGCTCTCTCGAATACTGCGAACACGACGCTGCAGACCACGGCCGCAGGCGCCATCATCGCCGGTGTCCAGAACACTCTCCGGAAGCAGAATGTCGGAGCCATGGGCATCCTCACCCGGTCGGGAGGCATAATCGCGCTATACGGTCCGTAGCAGGTCAATTGCAGGAAAATGCATCGGAACGAAGCTAATTGACGTGTAGCCGGTGTGGGAGCCGCCTATCAATTCACACTGGACGCGACCAGCAACCTGCGACAAAAGGATGACTGCTACAGCGAGGCAGTTGCCGGTTTCGTGGCTGGATGCGGTGTCGGTGTTGCCAGTACGTATGCTCAGAATGAATGTATACGCCCGTACTGACAAATCACAGGGCGAAGCCTTCCATTCATGCTCGGTGCCGGAGTATGCTTCTCCACGGTCCTCACTGCTTACCGTTACACTGCTGGAATGCGCGGTATTGGAGACATTCGCGACCAGGTCGACGACGATGGCGAGGTCGAGCGCAGGGAAGAGCTGAAGAAGGTGCGCAGGCGGCCAATGTCCGAGACTCTGCAGCAATTGGGCGAGGGACGAGGTATGTCAAACAACGGCCAGAGCATTCTTGCTGAAGCTGACTTTACCAGGAATCTACGGTCCTGGTTACGAGGAGAGGAGGCGGCAACGACTGTTGGAGAAGTACGGCGTCGATGTCAAGGCAGCGCAAGAAGCCGCCTAGAAGCATTACACATTTCCTTGGAGTCACAGCAGCAAACACCACAAAATCCTGAGCCGCCTCTGGCTCGTGTATATAACTCAACAATCGAAGACTTTATCAAGATTATTCTTCGCCCCTAGGCTCAATGCATGGTATCGGCCTTCCCATCCTAGTTTGCTTCAGACAGCATCGATGATTGGTTTCTACTAGCAGAGGATGAAGGTTGAGCTAAGGAAGGACTCTACTATGATTGCGCAGAAGGATAACATCCATGCCGTCGCTTCCGTTGCAGGCCGACTGGTATTGGGCATTAGACAAGGGTTCTGCGCGATGTGCGGAGAGCTTATGGTGATGCTTGAATTGTTCAGTTCAAGAAATGTATCTCGGATAATCGCCATGCCTCAAAGATCCATACATCTGACAATGCACGAGACGCTATTGGTGAAATGCGGGGTAGCGTGCATCCCACCAGTTCGATAATGTCGCGTCTTTCGACCCTCAATTGGAATCCACTCGTGATTGAGATCGGTGACACGAAGGACTTCTAAATTGTCGACCTGTTACATTGCCAGACTGTCACCTAAACTCGTAGTTTCTGTACTTCATTGGTCTTCACCATGTTACGGTTTTCGCGCGCTCCATGCGCGTCTCTTTCAACCCCACTAACCAACCCACCGACGCGTGAACATCTCACCGAAGAACTTCGAGGCTCAACGCATGCCAAAAGACAAGAATACGGCTGGCGAATATCAAACCTCAGTCCTCAACTACCTTAACGTCGCGACAACACCCGACGCGCAATGGCCGAGTCCAACCTCAAAGAGACCTTCTACCGCCAGTTCAACCAAGATGTCGCAAGTCCGTCTCCCACATATCCACCACAGCATGCGCCTTGACTAACACACTCAGCACTTCGCGCGCAAATCGAAAACCTCTCTTCCGTATCCACATCCGGCGGCGAGCGCAATGAAGCAATAGACAACTGCCTGGCCGGCATAAACCGAGTAGCCCTCGATGTCCAGGACGCCTCGAGCTATCTTCCGGCGTACGATCAACGGACGTACAGCGAGGTGTGTTATATACCGAATATAACGAAGCCTTAAGAAGAGCTGGAGGCTGACAAGAAAGTATAGACGATCAAGCGTTTGAGCGAGAAGCTGTCAGAAGTGAGGAATAGCTTCGATCCACCCAAGAAGTTCAGTTTCAAGAACAGGAGGAAGGATATCGCAAAACCAGACGCTGCACCCGATACATCGAGCACGAAACCGTCCTCCGCATCGGAACAAAAACCACCATCACAGCAACAACAGCAGCACGACACAACGCAACACGACTCTTCCCCGTCAGCGCTCTCCTGGAAATCCCACGCCCGTATAACCCTCCCTTCATCTCCCCACGAAACAAGTTCACCGACAGTGTCCCACCTCACCCACTGCATCGTCGATCTCAGCGCTCCAACGAAAGCCAACGCGCCCTTCGCTGCCCTCTACCTCCGCTCCATAAGCTCATCGCTCATAATAACCGGTCAAGTCGCAGGCGCAATACACATCACCGATGTCTCCAACAGCATCATAGTGACGGCGTGTCGGCAGTTTCGCATGCATGGGAGCAAGAACGTGGATGTATATCTACATAGTACGAGTCGGCCGATCTTTGAGGATTGTGAGGGCCTGAGGTTTGCGCCGTTGCCTAGTGTACATGTTAGTCTTCTCTTGGGTACCTGCAGTCTTTGCTGTGTAAATTTCGCTAACGACCGTATAGACGACACCGGAGATCGAACAATCGCCAAATCAGTGGGATCAAATCGACGACTTCAAGTGGTTGAAGGCCGAGCCAAGTCCGCACTTCAGTCTGCTACCTGAAGCCGGGCGCATATCTGAAGACGCGTGGAATGAGGGCATACCCGGGAACGAGAATGAGAGCCTGGATGATACCCTGAAGGCTTTCGGTGTACGGTGACGGAAATCGACCATCAACACAGCCATGTAACAGGTCTCTCAGCCTTGGCGTGCACTCTAGCCACTGCGGATTTCCGGCTTGTTTCAATCATGACATATTCCGAGAAGACATCACAGTGCAACGAAGATCTTTGTTAATGGCCGAAGTAAAAAGTGTTGTATATTACATGCATGCTGATCTGTTGCGGCCGTGTAACTGGTAGTACATGTGAGGAAAACCCTGTCTGGCTTAAAGAACACTCCCTAAAAAGATCATACCACTTCCCTTAACCTCTTTAGACCCACAGTGTCGGTATGTGGACAGAGTTGGAACGCTCCATGCTAAACGCTATACGCGATGCAAGAATGTCTCACCATGTCGACCTCCTTCAACAACAGCGCATCTCTTTCACGACAGAAAGAGACCGATGAGAGAACCACGCTTTGGCTTATGCAAAGTGAGCGAAGACGAGAGCGACGACAATAGCCGCGAGGGAACTCTTTCCGGCACCGACGATATGGCCGGTGTTGATGGGCACTTCGATGTAGCTGGGGTAGGGGGCAACAATCGTGCCGTTGATACCGCCAGATGGGTAGGGATAACTGCAAAGACCGGTCAGTGAATATAGAAAGTATCAAGAGTCAGTAAGACGTACCCAGATCCGGAGGGACCACCAGAGGCACCTGAAGGGACGCTGGTCGGGATAGCTTGCGTATTCGTGTTGGTGTTGGTGTCATTGCCAGGCACGTCTGAAGGTCCTGCCGTGATGTACGAAATGAGAGTCTGTGTCTGATAGCTCGTAATCCTAATAGTGCTATCGATGACCGTGGATCCAGGACCTGTTGTAGGCGAGGGGCTTGGGTAACCAGGAGTAGTAGACAATGACGCTGAGTACGTGCCAGGGGCGGTACCCGAGGACCCTGTGGCGGCAGAAGACGTAGACTCTCCGCCTGTGTATGTCGGAGCAGCTTCGATAGAGCTTCCAGGTGGGGCAAAGTAGTTGCTGGATGAAGGTCCGGCTGAAGGGCTTCCAGAGGGTATAGCAGAGCTGGCACCCGGGTAAGAAGCTGTAAGAGAAGTAGATACAGCATCCGTGTTGGACCTTGTCAGTGCAGTTGAACTACCTGATGGCACGAGGTATCCACTGGAAGATGGTCCAGCAGGGCGAGACGGGGCAGCCGAGTAGCTCGATGACACTGTTGGTACACTTGGGTATGAACTTGCGGGCGATGAGACTGTGATGGAAGTCGGTACGGCATCTGTGATAGAGCTTGATAATCCAGCTGAGCTAGCTGGCGGCACGACATAGCCACTCGACATTGAGCCGGTGGAGGCGGCTCCCGGAGACGTGGGCACATAATCCGTATTGCTGCTCGGTGGCGCGGATGAGCCGGACGGTACGTAGCCTGGTGTTGAAGGAGTGGCTGGGTTACCAGAGCTTGGCCCTGACAAGGTGGTACCTATGGACGTAGGAACTGCATCGGTGTTGCTGACGGGTGGAGTTGCTGAGCTGGCTGGGAAAGTAGAGCCGGTGTATGACATGCTTGAGACCGCTGAGCTACCAGGGTTCACGGGACCTGGGTTAGTGGGTGATGAGACCAGCGAGCTGCCCGGAGGTGTGACATATCCACTTGAAGAGCCAATGGAACTAGGCCCAGCTGATGAAGCGGGATATGAATTGCTAATGGCGTTGGTGTTGGTAGATGAAGGAACCACAACGACACTGCTTGCTCCAGTCGAAGGCAATACATCTGTGACGATGGTGACTCCAGTGCTTGGAGATCCTGATGGAAGCACCACACTCACGCTAGGAGGCGTAGCATATGCGCTGGATGGGGAAACACCTGTTGGCAGAGCACTCGTCTGGGGAGCAGACCCACTGGGATATTCAGAGCCACCTGGGAAGATTTGAGACCCTGAGATGAGGCTGACAGAGATGCCCACGGAACTGGTGGGGTAGGCGGAGCTAGCAACTGATGAAGGAGCAGCTGTGGTTGGAGGTGGCCCATACCCAGGAGGCGTCGAAGAAAGTAGACAGATCGTGGTTGTTGCAGTGACATAGACAACAGATGTCTCAGCAGTGGTGGTATAAGGAGGGCAGCTCGCAATATCGGTGCAGATCTCCTGGATCAGGTGGGTTGACGTAACCATAATGACCGTGGAGTGGGTATCAGTGAGGGCACGCTCGACACCTGTTGACGTGTCAGAGTTGTTCGAGCAGTCAAAGAGCGATTGAAGTGACAATGCTGCTGAAGGAACTGCGTGAAGTTGACTTACGAGGAGCTGCAAGAGGCTGGACTGCAAGAGCAGTACCCCCGAAGAGGGCGGCAAGCTGAGTGACCTTCATGTCAAGCGTCGAGCTGGCGGCTGTGGTGAGATGGGATTGAAGAGTGCACCAGATGGGCAGAGGTGAGCAAGATGACCAGAGGAACAGGCCAGTTGCTGACGGAGGGGCGAGAAGGAGTGTGGTAAACGAGTGTAGGAAGTTGAATGCAGAAGAGAGATGATAAACACCGGGCGATGGACTTTATCGGGGAGGCACGAGTGCCAAGGGATGGGTGACCGCCGTGAGAAGCTTCGGGGGTGAGATTGGGAAGGTGCCCCCAGGTCATGACAGATTGATTCGGACAGCATGGGCAACAACACCGGAAGCCACCGAAGCGGATGAGACTACAGCTACGTCATGACAGGTCTTTCGCAACTCAAATTACAAGAGCAATTGCGGATAGGGAAGCTGCACTGTTGCATATGAGCGGACCTTCACCCCGATGCTGGGTAGGACTGGTGGCGAACGACCAAGTGCTGTTCAAACTCACATGTAAAGACCAGAAGGATCAGATGGAAGATGTAATTAGAAGAATGAGATTCTACATACATGCGGGTATACTGTAGCTTGTCATCTTGATGCTTTTAACCCAAAACGCCCGGATGTGCCAATCCGTGTATGGACACCCAAAAACCTAGCTCGGTGCCAGACGCTACTGACGTGTCGGCAAATACGCACCACCAGCAAGTACCAGGTTCATTCTAGTGAACTGCACCTTGTACACTGGACTATCCTTGGTCGGAAATACGCTGATCTGGTCTGCTGAGACACCGGTCTCCTTGCTGGCTTTCTTTCCTGTCACTGTGGTTCCACTCGCGCCCTTGGTCGTCATAGCACCGTCCGCCTTCGCAGCCACGCCATCGGCAGCCTTGTCACTGGTCTCTTGAAGCACATCCCAGACACGGACTGTCTTGTCCGCTCCGGCTGAGACGAGAACGCTCGATTCCACACTCCAGGAAAGCGACCAAATACCACCCTTGCCGTGTCCTCGCATGCGCTTCCGCCTTCGTCCAGTCTCAAGAGTCCAGAGAATGATGTTACCTGCATCGTCGGCGGAGGCAAGCGTCCTGCCGTCGGGAGAACATGCTATGGCGGTCACGTTGCCTGTGTGGCCCGTGAAGAGGCGTAGACAGTTACCACCAGCGATGTGCCACATGCGTACCGTGCGGTCGCAAGAACCAGTGAAGATGTAAAGGTTGTTGGGATGAAAAGTAACGCAGTCAACGTCATTGTCGTGACCAACATAGATGCGTAGAGGTTCAATGTGATCTGTTGACCACAAGCGTGCGGTGCGATCATTTGAACCAGTAAGGAAGTAGTGTCCATAAGGTCCCCATTGCAAATCCCAGACTGGATTGTCGTGTCCGCGATAGGCTACAAGACATGTATATGTGTCAAGCGACCAAAGCCGGACTGTTTTGTCCTCTGAACATGAAAGAAGGCATTCTGAATTTGTTGGCGGTCCGGATGGGTACGGGTTTGCTGTGGAAGGCGAGAAGGCCACTGCAGTGACTGGACCCGAGTGACCGACGAGCCGTCTTGAAGACGACGGTTGTGCGTCTGGGGCATCGTTTGGAGAGGTGAGTGGACTGCCGTCCATGGACCAGACCCGTATGTAAGACTCGTTCATACCGGCCGCGACAAGCTGATTGTCACCAGAGAAGTCGATACAGTTGATACTATCATCGGGTCAGCTACATTTTCTGAGACAGAATGACGAGTGAACTTACCTGTCGTAGGTGTTATGGAAGGTGTACATGGTGACGCTGACAGCTGGGCCAACGCCGCCTGTTCTGCCTTCCATCTTGTAGCGATCTCGGTGCTCGATGATCTTTTGAACCTCCATAGAGACGTCGCGCGCAAGAGAGGGCGGCAGAGGAACGAACTCACGTGAGGGACCGTCTTCTGTTGGCTCCTGTTTTATGCGCTGCTCGAACTCCTCTACTAAGCTTGGCTGTCCCGGTCTTGGCGCGCTTTTAGCATCCTCGTCCTGTAAAGCTGCGCGGACGTCTTCCTGCAGATCTGCCTCTTGTGGGTATGCGCCTAGCTGCAGCCTTATACGGGCAGCCTCAGCTTCCGGGTCATGGCGCGCAGTGAGGGGATGGCCTGGGGCGTGTCCTGGGATACCTTCGTCTTCTGCTGGAAGCTCGTCTTCGCCATGTCCACTTGCAAGGATTGCTGCTATACTCTTCTCGGCCGTGGCCGTTCGGTCGACGGTCACGATGTTCAGGTGTTCCCGGATTACGTCTATGATTGTCGAACCGCCGTCAAAATGCTTCGACTCGAGGAACTGAATGAGATTGAAGAAGGGCATTGTCGTCAACGTGATGCGGTATTTGTTGTCGATGTATAGCTTTGCGATGCGGCTCTCCTGCAAATGTGCTTGTAACCGGACCTGGCGGAGTGTTTTGATATCTTCGTCGTGGTCGCGCTCGAAAAGACCCTGATACGTCGCGAAGAAGGTCTCTGCATCCTTGGTGTAGAAGTCGCGCACCATGTCGAGGTACGAGTAGACGAAAACAGGCCACAGCAGCTTTCGCAACTCTGGCCTGTACAAATCCAGGTTGTCTTCGGTGTATTTGCGAAGGAGCTCGAATGCTTTTGTGTATCTCGCGCCGCCCGCTTCGGTGCTTTGCGCTACGAGGGATTGGCCGTTAGTCTGCGGTTCAGACTCTTTTCGAAGCATCGCCTCGGT